CCCCCCCCTTTGGATATTAGAAACAGCTACTGTTTTTGTTGATCTTTTTAACTTCTGAATAGGCCTATTTCAAGTCATAGCAGCATGGGAGCTCAGATTAAGAATATACTTATTCAGCCAGTGATACTGAGTGAAACCATTGCTAGTGTGAGTATGAAGGATAGGATTTCTTTAAATTATTTTCAGGTGCATTAAAGCATTTCTGAAAGAAGAATATAGAGGTATTTGAAAATAAATTAAATTGCTGTTTATTGATCATGTTACAGGTGTGTATGAGTTTTAATATCAATAATTTTTTAAGGTATCTCCCCTTTTGATAACTTTTGTACTGTGCTCACCGTCAGTTCATCCATCAGTTGGTTAACAAGGATAAGAGCAAAGAAACTATGATTAAATCTTGCCTTTTGAACAACGGTTTTGAATTTAGAGGATAAGGTGTATTCCATGCTGTGAAGCATCCTTTCTATCCCACCTACTCTACAATAGCAACTTATGCCAGAACCAAAGGCTAGCGAGGTGAAAGGAGCAAATCCCGTAGACTTCTCTTGTGCATTTGTGTTGGACCTCCTTAGCCCAGTAGTTTGGTAAGCATCAGCTTGCACAAGTTCGGTTTCTAATCTTGTACTGGTTTTGATATGATCTATTTGTGTATAAACTAGCCCGATTTCCTGTACCTACTGAAGGTGAATCCAAGGCTGACATGCTTAATCCCTTACAAGGAGATTTTTGCTCTTTACAGCACAATTTGAGGAGTTTGGGGCCTTTAGAGGCACTGTTGCGATGGAGGTGAGGACAGTTCTTTGCTTCACAATCCTTTGGCCACCTCCTATCAATTTTTGTGCCATTCATTGCTCAATCCCATCTTTATCTCTTTCATATCTGAATGGCCTGGTCTGCTCACTAAGGTTTTTCCAATTACTTTATTAATAGAGTCGGTGTTTCCTATCAATTTATTTTCTTTCTCTCAAATGAAGTAAGAGTATGCCTAAAAATGTTCTTCATGTGAGTCTGGTTTGTACTAATGATAAGTCAAGTAGGGGTAGAGTTTCTTTCAAAAAATACTTAGGTAAGCTGTTTAAAATTAATATTTGTTATTCTAAAAAATTGTGAGAGGGATCAGCCACCCTTCCATAGTTGCAGATAAAGTGCTATGGCAAGAATTTGGCATTTTTACATTGCCTGAGAGAATTATATGTTCATTTTCTGGGCTAATGTGCTGCAAGAAAAAAAAAAAAGGATGTAGCGCTTTTTAAAAGCAATTATTTTAAATATAAACAAAAAAGCTTTTGCTTGAGATTTGTCAAAAGTCTTTCAGTCTTTTCATAAAATTGTTATTCACTTCTTGGCTAACAAGAGCCGAATGAGTGACACCTTTGAGAGTTCCAGCTTGTGTTTTAGTGCATAGCTTGTATTTTTCTATGCACTACCATGCAAAATATTATCTGAACTTATTTAAAACAAACCCTAGTGAATAAATTCTATAACACAGAAACAGCTGTCCTAATTTATTAATTTATTTTAGTTGCAGCAAGCAGCTGAAGTTTCTCAGCTGAGAGGAGCTCGAGTCATCTCTGCTGAAGATCTCCTGTTCCTAATGCGCAAAGATAAGGTAAGTAATAAACCAGAATTTTCTTACTTTACATAGTAAGCTGCTTATCATGTTTTAAAGTGTTTGCTTAACCTATGTGAAAGGAATCCATCATCATGAATAGCTTTATTTAAAAGTATAGCTGCTCTGCAGTTGTATTGTATTGTGCACAGTACAATAATTGCGTAACATTTTAATTAATTCTCATTTTTTTCAGTAACTTAAATTATAAATAGATTTTTTCACTAGCTTTAGGGTGGGTACTGTACCTTAGAGCTCAAAACACTTTCTTAATACAGGCATAAATATTGATCGTTATCCTTTATATCCCTTTTGTTAAAAATCAATCATTCTAATTTCCTCCTAGTTATGCAGGGTGTAGATGTGACATTTGATAGTGCAACCATTACATTTTTGTCATCTAGGCTGTCAGTAAATCCTGTCTTGATTTTTCCTTTACAATATTTTTACTGTACTTTATCTCACCAAAATCTCCAAATTTAGGGATGGTCTTGCTTTTTCTGGATAATAAGTAGAACAGGTCAATAATGTAAAAAAAAAAAAAAAAAATCCATATGAAGATTAAATTCATTTTCATTCTTCAAATTTCAAAATTGTGAAAAAGTTATTATCAACTATTTTTATCAATATTATTTATTCTTCCTTTATCTCCTTTTCTTCCTTAGTTCCCCCTTTTCCCACCCTCTTTTCTCTCCCCTTTGTTTTTCTTTCCTCGTTTGATAGGTGAAACCTAGTGACCAAAACCATACCAAAATTAAAAAACACTAACACGTGAAAATCAATTGCAGTTTCTTTATCTGATATGATCCATAAGGCTATACTGAAAACAGTGGTCAATATGTATGTCAAACTTCATGAAAATGTGCATTAGTAGGTGTGAATTTCCAAACTAAGCAAAGATTTTGGAGTGCCCTAAAGAAGCCTGATTTCTGAATTTCTGCTTTCTGAAAGTCAAACCCATTTCTCTCTCAAAGTTGGCAAGCAAAGTACCAAGGAGCTCAAATAAATAATATTTAATGTGGATTTGCTACTGACTTTGATGTACTTTCTATGTATGGATTTTCTGCAAAATCAAAAATTATGAACATTTAAAAAATTATATTTATTGAGTAATGTATTACACATTTGTGTGTTTGTGTGTTACAAAGTTAGTCTAAATAAAAAATTACTCTATGTAATACTAATTAATATAAATGTATTTTTTTCTCTTAGAAGAAGCTTAGAAGGCTACTTAAATACATGTTTTTTCGAGACTACAAATCTAAAATTGTCAAAGGAATAGAAGAAGATGACCTCCTTGAAGGTAGAAAAAAAAATTACTTAATTTGGGGGAGACTTGATATTTTAGAAATGCTCAGCTCAATGCAGAGTATTAATGTCTTGCTTAACAGTTAAAGACACAAAAATATTGTCTTCAGAGTAATTTGGTTTAAAATCTCTGCTTTTCCATTTGAAATACTTCAAAAGTAAGTATTTGCATCTACCATCCAAATGATAAGTGCTTAATGTCAGAACTCTGTTGAAGTAAGAAACTGGTGCTGATTAAAGGGCTAATTGATTTCAGCATGTGTAATTTAAATGCAGCAGCTACCGCGTGCAATTGAATGGATATTTGTTAAATTATTATCAAAGGGTTTTGACATGTTTTACTAAAAAACCCCATGATCTTAAGTCATTGAATACTAGTATATGACCTGGGCTTGTTTTCAGTATGGTTTAACATTTTATACTTTGAATCTGTAATTTAAAGAATGGGACACACTTTTGTTTCCCCATTCCATGAGCAAGTCACAGATTTTATAACCAATGGATTTAAAGGAAAGGTTCTTTGAATTAAAAATACATTAATTTATGCCATATAATTTGCTGGTATAAAGTTTTGTTGATTTATATTAATAGAAGAATTAGCATTTCCTTCGTAAAAAGTTAAGTTAAAACTTATCATAGCAAATCTAAAGCTTGCCATACTTTTATAACATCTAGCAATGTCCATACACAACTTTTTGTATTTAACTTATTTCCTTTCTCAGAGCCTTTTATTTTTTCTTTTTCCCCTTACAATGAATTTCTTGTGTTTGGTTCTTCTGAGCATCCACATTGATGTTAGGTAAACATTGTACTTCTTGCTTTGACTTAGTCAATCTGTGGATAAGTTTTTATCAACTCATTTGAGATTTAATTTGCCTGTGGCATTTTATTTTCACCACACGTGAAAGTATATTGTTTCGTGCAAACAATCTGGCAATAAAGCTTCCTACCTGACAGCTTTGGTTTTTTCATACTTAAGTCTGTGTCACTATTTAAAACAAATAAACAATTTTTGTAAGCCATTTAGATGCTCATGAATTGCTTCCTAAACACAGTTCATCTGGGGATTAAAGGTTACATTTTCTGGCAGGCTTTGGTAATTGAAGCCATTAATTTTGTTTTGTGAAGCTAATGTCTTTATAGCTGCTATTCTGTTTAGAACAACAGAGATCACCTTGCCAGGGTTCTCTAGGTTTTACTGTAGAGCAGTGGTCCATCACCTGTGGAGCTGCATCTTAGTGTTTGTGTTATGGTTTGCTTTAGGCTGTAGGTAACGAGGATGTTCTGCGTGCTTTCAGGGAAGAGCATTTCCTCTATATACTCTGTTGTACAAGTGAGTTTTTTGTACAACCAAAGAAGGGTGGTTTCTTCAAAGCTCTGTCCACTGTGGATCCTTCAGTGAGAAATAATGACATACGAGCAGTAGACTAGGTTTCTCTAGATTACGAAAAAACACTAGGTTATACTAGAAAACACTAGAGGTGATTTTTTACTACAGTGCTACTGCAGCACAGCAGTGACATCACTTTGGCCAGGTAGCACAACTTGTATGAGGAGGACAGTAAGAACTGGCCTTTTCTGCACAGTGCATCTGCTTCTAAAACATGTCCCTCCTAGGGACACCTATTGGTGTTTGGAGAAGCCAGATAACTTAAGTTTGTTGTTCTTTGCTTTGTGAAGACAAATTCAACAGTAATAACACCAACAAACGGCAGAAGCTTGCTCAAGAGTTTCTCAACTCCATTGACCAGACTGGAGAGCTCTTAGCCATGTTTGAAGATGATGAGATTGATGATGTCAAGCAAGAGCGAATGGAGGTAATTCTTTTCTTTTACTGATACCCAGCTCCAGCGGAGAAAACTGTGAAATATTTCATACATCATGCTGGTCTGATGCCTTTTTCATACCGCATATTATATAATTGTTACATGTTTTTTCATTTTGCCCAGATGGTCTAAAGGAATCCTATTTCCATATTTTTCCTATTCCCTCAAATGTTTCCTGATATCTAAGCGAGCATGCTGAGAAGGAAGATTATGAAAGGGTAGTTATGGGTCTTTCTGTCCGCTGTGTATTTGTATTTCCTTCCTGTAGAAAGCAGATTCTATTTATAAACATTTCACACGCATTTTTCACAACAATTTTTTTCTTTTTCATTATTCCTCTCATTAGAAAATTGTTTCAATAGCATTGGAGGACTTTTCATATAACACAGTTTACAGATAAAATTAAAATATTCTGTGCAAACATGCTTCAGTATGTGCTCTTCTCTCCATCCTGCTTTCAAGTCCTATTTTCTTATCTATTTACTTATGAAAAATTATGTCTACATTACAGAATGCAGTACCATATCACTCTCAAAAAGCTAGGTGGGATCAAGAAGCAGTATAGCTGTGTTAGCATGGAAGTCTGTGGAACAATTGTTTTGATACCAGTTGGTTTTGATACCAGTTTTACTTGCTTTCACTGAGCTTTGACTATATTGGCACATGATACTACATCGTAGCAAGTACACCTTATAGATCTTATCAACCCTATGTCCTCTCTATCAGTAAGCGTCTTCTTAAATGTCATTTACTTGGAAGTATATATAAGAGCCAAAGGCTGTATCCGTACTAATTAATAAACTAGGCCAGGGCCAGTTCTCTGGCCCTGAAGGCAGGTGACATGGCCCGGCTTGGGTCCCTATGGCTAAATTTTCTGTAGGTGGACAGGACTACCCTGCCTTTTTGGTAACGAATGTGGAGAACAGTCCATGGCCCCTGTTTGTGCCCAATTCCTCCTCATGTCTTATGTGGGCAACTGGATGTCAAGGGCAAAACTGTGCCAGGAGCACGCTCACAATTCCACGCTAGTGTTTGGGCCAATTTCCATCCTTTTTAGTCAGTAGTAGAGTATATGTGGCTGTTGGAAACTTGCTATTTTTAGAGTGCTTTTTATACCCTTTCAGCGGTAGAAGCTGGTTACTTTGGTTTGATTTTCTTTTCTATGCTGAGGTGGTTGATGTGTATTTGTGTATTTGATATTTGACTATTAGGGCCTCATTTCACTTTCAGAATTTCATGGAAAATTCTGAGAAATAACCGGATTTATATCCTACCCTAGTTGTAAGTCTCATTTTTTCTTCTTAATGGAGCCCCTTTTTGGAACTGGGACTTCCCCAATCCTGTTTCCCCTTCCTTCTCCCCATTACAATTACTCAAAATCTAATGAAGAATTCCTTCTCCTAAGAATTTGGCTAGTAACAAGTCCCATTTCTCCCCATCTGAGAATCAGTGTTGTTGAACAATTGTTCCCACCCACTGTTTGTGTTTTGGAAACTGATGGTTTCTGTTCTTTGCTTTGCTTTTTTACTTATTTATTTATGCAAAATGTTATGTTTTGCAAAAAGGCAGGCAAATCCTTTGAGCTTGTACGCACAAAAATACATAACAGCACTGTTCTGAATGAATGGGTTGTGTGCTTGACTTTAGATTCTCTTCTGTCATTCCAGTATAATATTTTTTTGGTCTAAAGAACTACACAAGCTGCTAGAAGTATGAAGTTCCCTGTCCTAGACAAGGACAAATTTGACTGTATGCTTGTCTGTCAATGAATGTATTCCTGTAATCAAATATTTATCTTTCATCTGACTACATGTTTTGTTTTTTCTCACTAGACTATAATTCATGAACTGTAGAGAGTGTGTGTATATATATATGTATAAAAAGTAATTCTTCTCTCTATTGCTCTACTTTATTACATTTTGTGAACTCTTGATCTGTTTCCATGTTAAAAAAAAAAAAAAAGAAAAATCAAGATCTACTTATTTTAGAATAGATCCATGAATTATGTACAGGTATGAGGTCAGTACCACGTATTTTCTTTCTTATTAGTTTTTTAAACTAATGACAAAACATGAAAGATTGCTTGAGTCATGCTATTCGAAATGTTTAACATATTTTTGGCTTTGTTTCGTTTGGGATTTTGTTGTCACTTTGAGGTAGGTGGAAAGGAATCAAAGATAGTAGGAAATGTGATCCATTCCTAAAGGAAGAGTTGTTAGTGGATGGGCTAATCTCATGTATCACGTTTTCTTTGTGCAGTAGATTGTTTAATCCATGCTAAGTTTTGGAGGAAATCCAATAGACACTTTAAAAATTCTAACAGCGTTCTTTAAGGAATTAGTATACTTAAATCATGAACTGTGATCTAAAGGCAGTGTTCCTTTTAGGTATCAATTACCTCAGAAATGTGTGGTTATCTTGGTTTGGACAACTGTAAATAATTTCAGTTCCACTTTGCCTTGGGCCAAAATCATGCTAAGTTGTCCAGAGCAGATGATAAACATATATTTCTGATGTCATTATGGGCTAAACAGGATATGATTGTTTAGCAGTATGGTTTCAGTTATGATACAAAAAGCAAATATTGTTTATACTCACTTCTTTTAAAAAACTTTATAAAATTAGAGCTAAGACTTCATAAGATCGCTTGCTGTTCTATGAGGTCTATTCTGTATTTGTACCACGGAGGAGTAAGCAAAGCTCCAAGCCACTTTCAAACATTACTAAAGGTGAACAAACAATTCTACACTTTTGACTAAAAACCACCCACTGACACTGTCACATTAAAAAGAAAGGACATTCTTCTAGGATTGTATATAGAACTTATTGATGTACCCTGTGGTTTCAATTTGAAGCAAAGGGACTATCTCTAAAACAGTAATAATAGCAATATGGAAAGGAAAGTGGAATACTCTTAAAATACAGGGCAGAAATTAAGAACAAAATTCACATTACTTTGTCATAATACAAGATGATGTTATCGATACATTGTGATTAGATGATTTATTATAAAAATTTCAATAATAGCAATAAAGAGTAGCAAACCGGCCAACTGTATTGGCAAAATCAAAACAAAATAAAAACTGGAATAGCCCCTCTGTCTCACTTCATAACAGTTAGTATTTTGCCCTCCTAAGGTAGCAGTAAAACACCAGTGAAACGCTGCTCCTTGGAGTAAGAACAGTTATAGATGGAATAAACTATTCTCGTTCATAGTTGTAATTGAACTGTGCACATGAAGGAGAGCTATCCAGATCATAGAAGTTGTCTTCATAACAGGTGACAGTCTCTCGAGAACAACACATGTAACGGTGATCTACCTAACACCCCTTTTTTATTGGAATAACCAGAGCTGGTGGTGCTCGGGAATTCCATTTCCCTTCTGTTGCCTGTTGTATGACAGAATTTACGAGAAATAAAACCTTGCAAGGGGATTGCAATTTTGCTTTCCTCTGTCTCTTAAAAATCATTTAGAGGGGAGAGTTAGGATTCCTGTGAGATGTGGCTGAATTGGTGTGGGAAGAAGGTGCATGCTCATTTAAAATCTTTGCATTTTTCCTTATTTTGTAGTTTGAGTAGAGATGCACTTTTGGGTGTTTGTGTCCTTATGTCGCTACTCTGAACCTCTCAGGTGGCCTGTCCATAGTAAAACTAGCTGCAGGTTTGGCTGTGATTTTGTGAATGGTAACTCCAGTTCTGCTAAATTTTTGTATGAGAACCACTATCAAATTCTCCATGTCTTGTTATTAAAATCAAGTACAGCTATTTTAAAACTTCAGACAACGTCATTGCAAAGCTGACTTCTCTCTCATTCTGTAACTATCCTTTTTTTATCATTTGTTTTACAGTTCAAATACCTCCCCCACCAGGAAGAAGTCTTCCCATCAGATATTTGAACTGATATACGAAGGAACGCATAGAGCATCAGGCTGTGAATGCTCTGTTTCACTTTTGTTCCCCTAGGATTAAGAGAAACACCATTCATGTGTCACTCTGACTGCTAGTTTAGGGATATGTTTCTGACACTCAGATGTTATATGGCAATAATTCAGTTGCAGTAGCTACCATAATGCTTTGCATTATGGTACATTGCAAGTTTGAATAAACAGTGGAGGGAAAATAACTTCCCTAGAAGAACACCCTACCTTGAAAACAGGCTAGAGGCCAGCAAAATGTTAAAAATAATTTACGTGCCTACAAAACAGATTGGCAGAAGCTTGTGGTTCTTTAAGGTGTATTGTCCTACGAATTACATTAGGTATTTAAAAACTACAGGTACATATCATTGTTCTAGGAAGTTCATTGTGGATGTGATTTTTCGTGTACTGCTTGTTAGTATGCTTCTGTTAGTGGGAAATCTGTACAAAGCTCACAAAAATGCATTGGGCCCTGTGCAAAATAGAGTAGATTGCAATAAAGTGTAGATGTGTTTGGAATATATCTTTTGTTCACATGAGGTTAAATTGCTCCCATTTAATTTTGCCTGTGTTCAGATACATTTAATTTGTGTCTGAACAAGACAGCTAAACACAGGTAAATGCACTATGGGGTACAGAAAATCATGCTCTGGAAGTCCACTCTGTTTCAATCATAGAAATAAGGTAGACCCGGCATTTAGTTGTGTCTATAGCAGTAAATTAGACAGTGACCAAGAAGATTCCTTCCTACTGGAATATGATCATCTCTATTAAAACTTCTGTGTAGTCATGCTTTGACCGGAGTAGGTTGTCCCAAACAATTTCTGGGCACAGTTTGGGAGTCAGCCTGGACCAGGAGTTCTCTCCATGGCATGGTTTGGATGTGGCCACTCTCTTTGGGAGGCTTGGAGAGCAGGAACACGGGCACAGGTTGCTCCATGCTGACTGCCCTTGGAGCTAGGGCATGGACCTGGCGTCTTTTAGTTGAGACAGCTACAATTTGGTGAGATAATTCAGGAAAAAACTTATGAGCTCTTCTGTTAAGGGAGGATGCGAAAGATGGTGTTCAAGTAC